GTTACAGGCGCTCTGGCCTTCCTCGCTGGATCCTGGCCGCCTGCCTCTTCCTCTCCATCATGGTGATGCTGTGGCTGAGCTGTGCCAGTTTGGTGACTGCCCCCGAGCAGCATGTCAAGACCCAGGTATGGGGTGAGCGGTGCTCAGCGCAGCCCGGGGGGGAGTCCTGGGGGGGTGAGGGGGTGTCCCTGACACCCTTGGTCTCCCCATCACGGCTGGAGGAGTTTTGTGGGGCTGAGCCGTGGCCGTACAGTGTTTGTGGTCCCTGGCCACCATGCTGGGCTCACCAGCGTGTCCAGGCTGTGCAGTATGTCCCCAGCCAGCCCCAGTGTTCCCAGTCTGGGGACAAGGGGGTCTTGTCCCTTGCTCTGGGGCTGCACCGTCCCCTCTGCTTCTCTTCCAGCCTCTGAGCATCAACGGGGACAAGGAATACCTGGAGGATCTGGACGGCTCCAGCACCTTCCCCCTGCCACCTGTCATCGCCGTCACCCTGTGCCCCGCACACAGTGGCGAGGACGCGGGGCCGCTGCCCCTCAAAGTCGACCTGGACAAGACCGTCCTGTAGCGCTCCCACCCCTTCCCGTCACCTCCACGCCACGTCCCCATCACCGTCCCCACGGCATCATCCCCCATCCCACCCCCACCCCGCTGCCCATCCCCAGCTCCTGGAGGGGCACCTCTGGGTCTGGCACGGGGGGGACCGGGGGTACGATCTGCCTCGGTCCCGCTCTCCTCCCCAGGGATGGCCACTGCGGAGGAGGCTCCCGGGAGCCGGGCAGTGGCTTTGCTTCCTCCATAGATGTGCTGTTTGCTGGGATCCTGGTTTCCAGCGCTTGAGAGCCAAGAGAGGAGCTGCCAGAGCGGGGAGGCTGGGGGGAGCCCGTCCTGGTGGGTTGTCTCCTCCCGACCGGAGCCCCCGGGGCCCCGCAGCCCTCCGGGCATGGGTCCAGCGCTGGGCAGGAGGGAGCCGGCTGCGGTGGGGGATGGAGAGTGTCTGCAGCGTTCTGGGCTTTGGCTCGGCACATCCCCGGCCTCCCACCTTGGGCTGAGCCTCCAAGGCGCCGTCTCCGGCCCTGGGAACTCCCTTCCGCCGGCCGGAGCCGATTGCCTTGGGGAGCCGAAACGTGGCGAATGGATTTGGCGTTGGCAGCCGGAGAGAGGAGCGGATCTTGCCGCCTCCGTGCCCACGCGAGGACCCAGCCGGCCCCTTCCCGGAGCTGCGGAGGGGCCCTGGGGTGGCTCCTTCCCCTCCCTGCTCCGTGATGCCTTTGGGGTGGCTGGTCCCGATGCCGACGGGTTGCTGGTGGGACTGGGCAGGGGACAAGGTGGCGTTTCCCTGCCTTGTGCTGCTGCGGCGCCTCCGAGCTCGGGCAGGAGGTGGGAGCTGCCGGGACGCCCCCGTCCTGGGCTCAGCATCCCTTGTCCGATGCCAGGACCGGCTCTGCCTGCGGAGCTGTAGCTGATGGCAGGACCTAGCAGGTCCCAGCCTTCGTGTCCCCGTGCTCACAGCACTGCCCTGGAAGCAGGGGGGGGGCATCCCTGGGGTCTCCCAGCCAAGCGGGGACCCCCTCAGCTTGCCCCAGCACTGCCCCTCAGTGTGGAGGGGTCCCCTCCCTCCCCCTGCTCCACAGGGCTCTGCCCCGGGGCATCTCCCCCTCTCCCCGCCGTTCTCCATCACTTGACTTCGTGCATCGTTTCGTGGTTTGATTTGCACCAGCATGTGGTTCACCGGCCCCCGGCGCCCCGTGGGGACACCCCCACGCTGGGGAGGGACGGCTCGGCGGCGGCGGTCCCTGCCATCCCCACGTCCACCGACACGTCTGTATAGATTAACTTATTACCCCCGACTCCCCACCCTTGGGTTTTTAGGCTCTCTCCGTGTGCCAGCAGCTCCCCGGCGCTGAGCGGTCTCGGGGGGCCATGGCGTGGTGGGGTGGGGGGGTCTCGTCCCCATCCTCACTGTTTTTGTGCTGCTCCGTATCACTTTCACCC